CTGGCCCAGGATCGGGCAGTGTTTTGTTCTGTTGTGCATACGGTCGCTATGAGTTGATACTGACTTGATGGCACCTAACAACAAGAAGTATAACACAAAACCTATAAGCTATAAAAGAAAAGACTGGTACATCTGACCAAGTAAAAATGATTTTTTTTTTTTTACATAACAAAGCCTACCATAAGCAAAGTAAAATCATTTCAGTAACATCTGAAGAGTTCCCACAAATTAGTAAAAAAAAATGGGAAAATATACTGAAACATAAAAAGATTCCAACTTTGTAAGCCAAGTATAAAGAGTGACAATTCTGACTTTTTTACCTTCCAGATTAGCAAAGATCACAAGGTTTGCCTGCACACTGTGATGTCATGGGAGAGTGGAAATCCAGAATCTCGTAAATTGCTGTTGGCAATGTCAGTCAGTGAAACCCATACCTATGTGTATACCTGGCCTCCCTGATTCTAGGAATGTGTCCTACAGATAGGCTTCCAGAACTCTGATGGGCCCAAAGAAAGAGAGAGTGCAGTAGGAAGGCATGCCCTGAACCAGACTAACGACTGATTGTTGGAGATCAATGAGAAAGAACCTTAAAGGACCCAGGCTCTTAGAGTTCTTGCAGTCTTGTTCTAACTGTGCATTCAGCTGTAAGTACGTTGTTGTTAAGTGCTGTCGAGTTGGTTTTGACCCACAGCTTCCAAGGGGCATCTTGAGTAACAGGTAAATACTTATGCTTAGTTCTCTTGGGAACTGGAGTCCTGGTGTGGTGGTACAGGATCATGCACTGGACCGCAAGTTCGGTCTGAACCACGAGGTCGGCGATTCAAATTCACCAGCTGCTCCTTGGAAACCCTTCACAGGGTCTTTATGAGTCAGAACCGACTTGACGGCAACAGTGACAACAATCTTGGGAATTAGGTCTTTGATGTTCTACAGCCTGGCTGAGTCAGTCACCATACTGCCTGTTCCCTGTGCTGAGAAGTCCAGCTGTCCAGCTCATGGTGCCCCCCTAGGGGTGATCGCCCACCAATAGGTAGTCAAGGGAGCAGACTGAAGGGGCACTGGGGAGCCAGGAGCACAAAGAAGTCCCCGTCTAGGTGGTACCTGGACAAGTCGCTGGGTCCCAACCTTCCATAGAGAATGCTTTTGAATCTTGATTTCCCTGGCATACTATTATAAAATAGACACTTGAGGGGTAGAGAAAGGAATAGCCAGAAATATCACCATAGAAAGTTTGTAAGTCTGTCTTCTGCCTCTAACTGACGGGAATACCTAAAATGGGGCTACAATGTGCCCAGTGAAGGAGGTTGCCTGTGGAGCCTCTGCATTACATGAGACCATAGGTGGAATCCTGAACCCCATCCAGAATCTTCTGTGGTGGGAAATTTCCACTTGAAAGGACAAGCAGACCAGCCTGGAGCTGCTAGAAGAACAGAAGATACTTCATAAAAGAAAGACCGACAGGAAAAATACAAAACAATACAGGCAGTTCGACTGACTACAAGAACAAGCAGGTTGCTCGCCCAGGAGACATCAAGGCAAGTGGTTGGGTCACCTCCACTTCCAAGACTAAGACTCAATTGGAATACACGAGCAGACATGCACTCTGACTGGTGACCACGTTGGTCACCGATAAGGGGAAGTGAGAGAAAAAAGGCAATGAAGCTGTGAGCTAAGCCCTACAATGTTCAATAGACTTCTGTGAACCCAGGTAGAGACCTGGTTGGCTAGCAGTGTGGCAAGACCTGGGGACTCCTGGGCTCAGAGTCAGTGACATAGCCACATAGGACTAGAGTGGAGAGTGAAGCATCCATTGATAAGAAGAGAGGGCATATGCACAAGAACACCCACACTTGCAGATAATACTCACTTGACCTAGCTTCAATGGCTGGTTGATCAGAACTCAGCTAGAAGAAGAAAGAAGAGGAAAAAAAGAGTAATGTGATACAATTTGATGAACTTGACCTACACCTATGGATGCAGTAGCTCAAAAGAGGGAATAAATCTTCACAGTGAGGCTCATTCCCACCCTCTCGATACACAGAGTAGACAGGGTTGGGCAATTTAGACATTGGCTATCCAAAATAGGGGGATTACAAAGGCAAGAAGTGACTGGCTTACAAGCTTTCAAGAGGGAAGCTAGATTCAGAGGGCATGAAGGAAGGTAGACTCTCCACTGAGTAGTATCCAATCTGTCTGGCCGAGGCTGATGAAAGGAGATGTGGATAGCACTCATGTGGCACAATAGTGAATAATTGCTATCAGGACTGACTGTGAGGGTTGGAAATATAAAGGTAGATGTTTTGTAGCAAAAGAAGGGGAATGGTTGACTTTGCAGTCCAGGAGCCGAGGTCCCTGGGACCATCAAGGGAAAAAAGCAGAATGTGGGACCCTACCCAGAGAAACAGTGACACCAGAGATGGAGGCAGAGAGATAGAGCAGCTGGGCACTCTAGACCCTGAGAGGGAGAGGGTCTGTGTGCTGATGACCGAGGGGCAGGCTTGCAGGGTATACCCTTTGGTTGGTTGATGATGCATGGAGGGGATTCTAACCATGGCAATGAAACGATATATGATAGGATGAATGTAAAGCTAATGTTCTCCAAGTAAACTATCCCATAATTCACAATAAAACATTTAAAATAAAATTAAAAAGTAAAGGGGAAAAAAAAAAAAAAGAGAGACAGAAGGCTTCATATCTGCACTAGAAGACAGGAGCGCCATCTTAGCTGAGAAGAGAAAAGGCCTGCAACTCTGGAGTCCCCACCCAGCCAAGACACCACTCACAGGTCAGGGTGAAAGCAAGAAATCTGCTTGTATGCAAGGATTCAGAGAGTGTCTCTGTGGGGAATACTATGAATGTTCGGTAACCACGGTAGTTAATCAGACCTGTTCTGACAGTGGGAAGTGAGGATAAATGAAAGTTGGTGAGCTGTGAATCCACCTATGTATAAGGTCAAAGATTACAAGGTGATGATGCTGGACTGGGGAACAGTAATCCACCTACTCCTCACTTAGCGACTTGCTCGTTAGTCGACATTTTATATTTACGACAACAGTAAAAAACAAAAAAACAAAAACCCAAACCTACTATCTGACTATTTTGCATGCTAACAACATATGTCTGGTAGTACTGAATGCTGGTAGAAGGTGTGAGGCTTGAGTAACACTGGCTGTGATGGTTGAGGTTATGTGCCAACTTGGCCAGGCCAGGATTCGTAGTGGTTTGGCAGTTATGTAATGATGTGCTTTGGCAGTTATGGTAGGAGGTTGCCATTTTCCATTTTCATATACTGCTTTTTGCATAATGACCTGGTCTTTGGAACTTTACCATGTTCATGGGTGAGGAGTGGATGTATCTGAAATCTGAGTAAAGGTTCTTGAAACGAAGGGCCAGGCTGCAAAGAAATGACAAGTGAGGGTCCCAATTCAGAGTAGAAGGGACATCAGGAGAATACTTCTCAGGGTCTCATCTTACAGGGTGAAGGGGAAAGTGAGCAGAGCACTGTGGGTGAGTGAAGGGATTTGTTTGGAACAGACAATAGACAAATACCTATATGATTTTAAGGGTCACAAATTGAAGTCACCATGAGTGAAAGGGAAAAGTAGAATTTCCAAAATAATTAGGGGAAATAGGGAACCTTTAGTAAATAAACCTAACTGATAAGAATAAGAAGAGAGGCAAATAAGGAAATAATAAAATGAATAACAGTTATCTCAAGTAATCTGGAAGGAAAACCCAGCTGTATCAGCTGCTATATGAAGTGGGAATGGGTTGATTTTTCTCTAGTAGAAAACATGGTCTGTCAGATTGGTCAAAGCAAACATAAAATAGAGAGATAAGAAAGAAACAAGAAAGCAAGAAGAGTGATAGTCATGTCCAAGTAGAATTAAAGACATGAAACAGGAGTAGGAGAGAGATTAATCATATAAATTGCAATCTTTACAGAGAAGGTATAGTAGTACTAAACCTAAATGCACAAAACAACATGGTAGCTAAATTCAGAAAGCAAGATCCTTTAGCAATCCCTAAGAAAGAAGAGACACTGTATGATTTAACAGGCCCCAACAAGAGTAAAGCATCCTGGTGTGGCGCTATGGGTTAATGTGCTGGATTGCAAGGTTGTCAGTTCAAGCTCACCAGCCACTCCTCGGAAACCCTCTACAGGGTGGCTATGAGTCAGAACCAACTCAAGGAGACGTAACAAGAAGAATAGTATGGAGGATTTAAACGATACGATAAAAACGACTGTACAATAACCAAGTAAGTCTATGAATGAATGAATTTATAATGGTGAGCATGTTCATGCATAAATGCAAAAATAAACAAAATCGTGAATGAATAAATGAATGAAAGTACGGTGATACAAATAAAGAAATGGAGAGAGGTTAAAAAACATGAGTAAGTTAAACAGCAAATTTCTGCAGAGAGGAAGAAAGAGCTCCCACCCTCCAGCCCCGCTCACCCGGCCAAAGAACTGTAAGAAGGTATTGGAGAGCAACAGGTGTTTCTCAGCCAAGAATCGGTAGCGCCTCTTCTCTTCCAGCTCAGCGGCCCGTTGACTCTCAGACATAAAGGCCTGCATTTGTGCGTGTAGCCGGTTAACGCTTTCCTGGAGGGACAAGGAGCTCTGGGTGGGGGCAGTGGGTGGTGCTTCATCCCACTCCTCATGGGGGACGGGGGACTCTGTCTGAAGTCCCCCTGTCCTTCCAAGGTCCAAGACCCCCAAGTACCCATCTCTTTCTTGTGTGCAGCCTCTGCCTGGGTGTGTTTTACAGGCAGGGCTCCTAACTCCAGCACCCAGTATTCAGGGCTGAGCACAGAAGTAGGGGCCGGGAGGTCTGTTTAATGGAAATGTGAATAGTGGACTAACATCACCCTGCTTGGAAGGGAAGAATTGGAAGAGGGGAGACCTGAGTGTAACGTAGTCAGCAGAGGACGCACGCAAGGCGCTAGAGGGTTATCAGCCCATGAAGTGGGGTCTTGAAGATAGAGAAGGGTCCTGAGCTTGTGGGGCCACTAGCGGATTGTGCCTTTGCGACTATGTTCATGAGGTGGTGGATTGATGGTTTCAGTTTTCCCAATGAAGGAAGACAATGAGGCATAGGGGGCTTTAGGAGTAGGGGGTACTGGGGACCCACAGAAGACCCAAAAATCAGGTGCAGGGCTGAGGAGTGGCGGGAAGGCCTGTGGTGCACACCCCCAGGGACTCCCTCCAGGTGTGCTCAGCAGAGGGGAACGATAAGGCTGGGATCCTGGGTTTAAGCTGGTGCTGGGGGGAGGGGGTGGGATTCAGGAGGGTGTTGGAGTTCCCCCATAGCCCGCCCACCACCCCCAGCTCTGCACCTTCATCTCCCGCACATTCTTGTCCCTCTTGCGTTCCATGTGCCACAGCTCAGACATGCATTTATCCAGATTGGCGGCTCGGTGGCGATACTCGACTTCGTAGTGCTGGCGGCTTTCCTGGGGTGGGGTGGAGAGACAAGGGAGACCCCCCCCATGTCAAAAAACTCAAGACACCTGGCCTAAGAGGCTGAGCACTGGGCTGGCCTCAGTGTGCCCATCTGTAGAGTGGGGAGACTCACTTTGATGAACTGCATGTCCAGTTTGGTATTTTTTTCCATGTGCTGCAGCAGGTCTCCGTGGAAGGTCTGCATCTGTGCAGGGGTCAGGTCAGGGGTCAGGGCACCTTTCCTTCCCAACCCCCAGCACCCCTGAGCATTTCCCACTCCAGCGCCCTGGCACTTGGGCCCGGCCCACTCTAGTCAGATAAGCAAGGAGACTGAGAGTGGCCAATTGAAGGAGAGTCAAATGTGGGCCGGTGCCTGGCTCGAACCATGCGCTCCAGAAACGTACCACCACCTCCAGTCTTAGTCTCAGTCTGTGATTGGATGACTCCGTTCCCCTGCCTGGAATTTCCTCCCAGCTTGTTGACCCCTCTTCTCGGAAGCCTTCCAGACTTCCCCAGGCAGAACGAGCTGCCCTCTCTCTCTGATTGTGGTTTCTAAAACGTGCACACATTTGTTTCTTCATTGTCCATTCTTTCAGCCACATGGAAGCATTTACTGCTGTGGGTATGAGCCCCGGTTGACCCGTGTCTGCATCCTCAGGGCCTGGTACAGGACAAGTGCTCAGAACTGCGGAGGCCTGAGATGGGCGATGGCAGGTCCGAGTGGCAGAGGAGAAGTGGGCATCAACCATCCAAAAGGGAGGGAGGCCGTGGAAGGCTGCTGGCTCAACTCAGCAGAGCCGCATTCTAATTCTGGTTCTGCCTTCAATTTACCTTAGGTCTTTGGGTAAATTGCTGACCCTCTGGGGATCTGGTGGTGCAGTGGTTAAAGCATTCAGCAGCTAACCAAAAGATCGGCGGTTCAAACTCAACAGCCACTTCCCAGGGAAAGATAAGGGAGTGTGCTTCCATAAAGACTTAGAGTCTGGGAAACACGATGCTCTGCTTTATGAGTTGGAATGGACTTCATTGTGGGCTTAGTGGGCTGTCCTTCTGGGTTTCAGATTCCCCGTGTGGACCAGGAAATGACCAGATGCTCGGAGGTCCAGCTCTCCAAACTTGGATGAGCTTTGAGTCTGTGGATGTGTCTGTCTTCTGTTCCTCTTTTCCTCCACCATCTGTTCCACAGTCAGAAGCCATGGTGGGAGCAGAGCCCGAACCCTCACCACTGTCCTTTCTGCTTGTGGGCTCATGCAGTGCAGGAAATGAAGGCGAGCTTCTCCCACCCCCTGGAGACCCTCCCTGCTTGCTTAACCTTCTCTGGCTGTACACCGTCACCCACAGCACTCCCTGATCAAGAGCCTCCCTCCATCCAAAGAAGTGAAGAGGACTTGAAATGCATGGAAGTGGTACGCTGTGGAGTCGGTTCTGACTCATAGCGACCCTGTATAGGGTTTCCGAGGCTGTAAATCTTTAAAGGAGCAGAAAGCCTCATCTTTCTCCTGCAGAGCTACAGGTAGTTTCGAACTGCTGACCTTGTGGTTAGCAGCCCAGATAGAAATCCACCATGCTACCAGGGCTCCTGCTGATGAAGATTAAAGACCACAGCCTTCAGTATGGATTTCACCTCAATGTAAAGAAAACAAAAATCCTCACCCCTGGACCAATAAACACTGTGATAAATGGAGAAAAGATTGAAGTTGTCAAAGATTTCATTTTGCTTGGATCCAAAATCAACACTCATGGAAGCATCAGTCAAGAAATCAAATGACATGTTGTATTAGGCAAATTTGCTGCACAAGACCTCTTTAGGGTGTTCAGGAGCAAAGATGACAGTTTTAATGCAGGGAGAATCACTGCGTTATAAAATGTCTTTAGGGCTTTCTCTTTATTGTTTCTAAAACCTTGAGAAATGCTGGTCTGCAAGGGAGCTTCAGTGTGACCATGCCTGAGGACCTTGAACTGTGGCAGCTAAGGTGTGGGTTTGGGGGGGCGGGTGTCAGAGCTAAGAAGAAAGTGCCACACAATCCAACAGGAAGCAAGTCTTCCCAGCGCTGCATTTGCAGGACCCTGATACTGACTGCCTCCTTGAATTTTGTGTCCTAGGTACCCTGCTTGCCTCACCCACCCCTGCTGCCCACTAAACAGGCAGTCCATGATGTCTGCTCTAACACAATACAGGTGTTCCTGATAAAAAACAAACCCAGTTCTGAAAAATTGTGCAATTCAAATAATGGGCCATTAGGGAAAGATGAGGCTGGGATAATCCCTCCAAACCCCGGCATCTTTGTAACCAGAATAAAGATGGTGGAGGTAGGGGGGAATTCATGGCGTGACCCCATGTGTGTCAGAGTAGAGCTGTACTCCACTGAAAAACGGCTGATTTTTTCAAACGTTGATCTCCAGCTCTGTCTTCCAAGTCACCTCTGGTGGACTCAAGTCTCCACCTTTTGGACTGCAGCCAAGAGGACTCTAACCATCGGACAGACAACAGCAAACATCAGCAATGCACAAAAACAAAGTGTACTTGCTGGCAGCCCTTGGGCCACTGCAGATGGGGCTAAGCTGAGGATGCATGAGGAGGGGGGCCCTGAGCCTGTAGGGTGACATTCACATGGTATGGAAAGCAGGGAGAGGGCACAGGTCTCAGAGGGGCTGCCTAGGCGAAGACTCTCGTTTAAAATGTTCTTCAATGATACCGAAAGGGCTCACACTTGCTGCCAACGCATCCTATAAGTTGAGGCCTTTCCTGCTAATTCTGTTTAGCCTGACCTGGCTCCTCTTGCCCAGGATGAAATCACTCGGGAACAAGCCTACATCCACATTACACAGCTGTCCTTCTTTCTGCTCCCAGTGGCGCCAGAGCTGAGCCACATCCTGGAGCTGTGTGCTAGACAGAACAGTCGGGTTAAATATAACTCTTTCCATGGCCAGGCGTGACTGGGATTGCCAGCAGGGCAGAGGACACAGACCCGGATGCCCCGGTCAGACGGGTCAACCTAACACTGGGCTAATGGAAAGCCTTTGTCAACTCCCTGAAGAAATGCGTCTATAAAAGCTTGGTAGTTGAAGCGAACTTTGAGCTCCTGCGGAAGGGAACTGGAGGGCTGTTTATAGCAGCTGGGAGGGTTCTGAAAGAAGCTGGGAAGGCAGCAACCTTCTGCCAGATCACATGCTTCATGGAAGAGTCTTGTAAATGCCTCAGTGTAAAGGACAGGAAGCTGAGAACAGGCACCACTGTGGAGAACATGCGTTGGGGTATAGCGTTCCTAGGGCCACAGTCTCGGGGGGTCTGTTTGTCTCTATCAGACCAGGAGGCCAGGTCTTCTTATGTTTTTGAATTTTGTTCTACTTCCCCCTACCCCTTCCAGGACCTTTATTGTGAATGTGATCATTGTTGTTGTTGTTAGGTGCCATTGAGTGGGTACTGACTCAGAGCCACCCTGTGGAATGAAGCACTGCCCGGTCCTGTGCCAACCTCACAATCATTGCTACATTTGTAGCTACATTGCTGCTGCCACTGTGCCAATCCATCTCACTGGGGGTCTTCCTCTTTTTCTCCAACCCTCCACTTTACCAAATATGATATCCTTCTCCTGACAATATGTCAGAAGTATGAGAGATGAAGTCTGGCCATCATGGCTTGCAAGGAGCCCTCTGACTGTACTTCTTCCAACATAGATCATAGTGGTCACCAAATAACAGACAGGTCTATGGAGTGAATTATGATATCAGGGAGGGGTGTCCTCCAAAAAGGTGGCATGTGCCCCAAGAGAAGGCTCAGAAGGCAGGAAAGAAGGACCAGTGGAAAGGCGGAAACCAAGGATGACGTGGGAAGGATATTGTGGAGAGGATTGTATCTAAAGTTACAAAACAAAAGGTGTGTACATTGCTGAATGGAAAATGAATGCGTTCTGTGAACTTTCACTCAGACTGCAATAAAAGAAAGAAGAGAGAGAGTTCCTCTAGTGGGTCAAGAAATCCCTCTGCCATCGATACAACAGAATCCCTCAAAAGAATCGTCTCTATGGCTTGACCCCATTTCCTCTTGATGTGGCATTCCCACACCCAGAAAGGTTTTAGGGCAATTACCATTGACCTCTACATTGCTAAGACCTATGGTCAATTCTCTTTTCAACAAATGATGCTCGAACAACTGGATGCTGTTGGTGTCTAGTCAGTTCTGACTCATAGCGACCTTGTGTAGCGTTTCTAAGGAACAGCTGATGGGTTTGAATCATCAACCTTGCAGTAGCAATCCAGTGCTTATCCTACCACGCACACCAGGACCCTGGAACAAATGGATTTGTTGTTGTTGTTAAGTGCCATCAAGTCGATTACGACCCATAGCAAGCCTGTGTATGGTTTCCAAGGGGCAGCTAGCGAGCTTCAACCACCGACCTTGCAGTTCAAACAACTTTGCAGTCTGGATGCATTAGCCCACTCCGCCACACCAGGAACAAAAGGATAGGTACATGCAAAAGAATTAATTTGGATAACCTTAAGGTCAGCAGTTTGAAACTACCAGCCATTCTTCAGGAGACTGATGAGGCTTTCTGCTCCTGTAAAGATTTACAGTCTCAGAAACCCTATACAGGGTTGCTGTGAGTTGGAACCGGCTCCACAACACACCACCACCATTGATACCATACATAAGTATAGATTATAGGTGATAAATGTCAAGTCTAAAACTGGAAAACTCGTAGAAAAAAAACAGATCATTTAGATATTATTACAGTTAAAACCTTCTGTGTTTTAACTGTAATGATATCCATCAAAGACAACTTACAGGGTGGGAGAAACTGTTTCCAAATCATATATCTAATAGGGAACGTGTATCTGGAATACATGAAGAATTGCTATACTGAATAATAAGACAAAGAATCCAATGAAGAAATGGACAAAGTATCTGGGTATAAAGCAATCCATGAAGACAAACAAATGCCCAATAAGCACATGACAAGACGCTTCATGCCTTTAGTCATCATGGCTGCAATAAAAAGACCACAACAGGTGTTAGTGTCGTGCAGTTTGAACTGAATGTCTCTTCTAGCCATTGACAGACTGTCAACTCAAGGTTTGAACTACCAAGCTTTCAGCTAGCAGCCCAGTACTTATCCTACAGTGACAAACTAGTAACCTGTTAACGTCCCTAATAGACCCCATAACTGGGAGGCTGGTATCTGAGGTGTGGCTGATGCAATGCAT